ATCGTTCGCCCTTCCTTGGCCGACCGATAATTGTTCTCTCTTTGTCTTCACAATCTTCGCACCGATCGTCTTCTGTTTAGTGAAGCACGAAGATTTTGTCCGACTCATTGGCTCTCATATTTACAGGTTTTGCATTGACATTCTATTCCTTAAATACCTAAATTATCACAACGCTAATTCTATCCCATGTTTCGTGTCCGGTTTTATATTAAGATTTCTTTTCCATGTTTTTATAGTTTCGCGATCCATTTCGATTTGAGAGTAACCTTTCTCTACTTGCTTTGTTAATCGTACAAAAAAAAATATCCTCTTAGTTTCTTTCACCTGGTATCATTTCCATCAAGATTCTGCAAAAATAGTGGCTTGTGTGAGTTTGCGTAACTTCTTGGCTCTGAAAAAGCGATTTAGGCTGCTGGTGGCTGTTTTCTTCTCTGTTTGCTAAAATTCTTTGCTTTAAAAGGTACTTGAATTGCATATTTTGTGGTTGCCTGCAACATGTTTAGTGGTGGTAGGTTCTTGTTTAGAATGTGTATTTAATAGTAAGATTTGTTGTTCAGTGGCGAATAGGAAAAATTTACAGATAGACCAGCGATTCCCAACCGGTGCGTTGCGAGCGCCTCAGAGAGTGAAATATGTCGAGAAGAATGTATAAAAAGGGATTGGTGAAATATTTGCCATTACTATTAGTTTACCGGTTGATGATCGATGGCTTCCATGTTCTTAGATTGGCCTATGTTTTAAGTTAATCGATTAATACATGACAATCAGTTGAAAATCTTGTGTGATAAATAACTATTAGGGTGGTTCAAAAGTAGTATGCAGACATCAAAATAATCTCTATCCATTATCCACCATGCAAACTATCATTGGATATTATCCCTATCTCTATCCGGATAATTTTGAAACGGATAATATCCGAGTTTAAATTATCCGGATAAAGCCTGTCCACGTTAAATTTCGGACACTTTTCTTTCAGTGTAGTTTTTGAAATAATTCACGAACCGCTGAAAGGTTTCACTTATATGACAGCTGAAGCTCTCCACTTTATTTCGTGGAACAACATGTTTATTTTTTTTTCCTTTATTTAACGTCGGTCTCTGTTCCGTAATCTAGTGCCAATCACCGACGGACATCGATTGCCATCCATTGACGGCAATCGAATGTGCAGGAAGACAGCTTCCACACCTGCGTAGGGCCGGGACCAACGGCTTTACTTCCCTTCCGAAGGAAGACGTGACCAGAGCAACATGTTTATATTCTTGTTCAGTTTGGTAAAATAGCGTCGAATCAAGTGGAAGTACGCAAACGCATTTTGTACGAGCGGCAGCAAAATCCAACGTTGTCAGTACGCGATCTTGTCACAAAGCTAAAACTGCCGAAGAATAACGTGTTTAGTGTGTACAAATCGTTTGACCAGCGCTTAGATGTGGATCGGAAGGTTAAAAGCGGAACAAATCGAAAAGTATACTCTCAACAAATGGACCAGAAGTTGGTAACCATTATTGAGAAACATCCGAACCTTTCAGATCGTGAGTTGGAAAATCAAAATCATATGTATAAAAAGTGAAGTAGACCCTAATAAAAATAACCATATAAGAGAACTTAACGACCTGGTCGGGGTATCATCCAAACCATCTGTGGGAGAGTTTACCCATCCGGGAAATAGTTCGTTTGTGGTATTTGTTTATTAGGGGAGGCAAGGGCTGAAGGCGTACAAAGTGAAACAGATGCCAAATCGTAAAATTTCCTGTAGGGTTTTTGATCTAATTTCCAACCCGCGTTTAATCTCTCTTTCTTGAACGGGTTTGAACAAAAAATGGAATATTTCTGTCAAAGATAACTTTTAAATTTATTCACATTTCCATCCGGACAAATTACCGTTGGATTTCATAAAGAGTCACAAATTATTGAGATATTGTTTAAAATCTAATACTGCTTCTTGATTCTAAATTCGTCCTACGAGTTTCAATTCCGTCCAAACGCATTAAAACGTCATTAGATTTTCTTCGTCCTACGGATAAGGATGATGGCTTGATGGAGCCTCGCTCGCGAGTTTGAAATGAGCCGAGCGTAGCATTTTTCTGAGGAGTTGAATGCCTACTTCCAAATCATTCCGCTGAGCTTCAGAGCTTGTGAGCGAAGGGGGATAAAATGAGAGTGAGGTTTGCTGCCATTCATGTTCATGTTTTCTATCACACGCTCTTAAGCAAACCCCACACGCATCAATATATTGACGCGAAGGGGAATTATTGACAATAATATTGATGATGTGAATTCAGAAATATTGTCAATCTCGATATATTGACGTCAATATCGAATGTATTGACAATACGATTATTGTCAATAAAAGTAATCGTGTAGGGTCCACTTTACTCTCACTCTGGGTGAACTCTGAGCTTCTTGCGTCGAACAAAAAAGTCATCCGGAGTCTCGAAAAGCGCACCTCATGTCAAATCATCCTCTCGCTGAAGTTCACTCTCCCTCTCTCTCGAGGAGTTTTTGTTTACTTCTTCCATATTTCTGCCGCCACTCTTTCGAGGTGAGGGCTGACTAAACCCTCCAGTGAGTTTGAGGAGTTTCAGCAAGCCTGGTTGCTACCATTCATCAGAAGCCGATACACTTCAGCTCTGTTTTGGACTGATTTGGCCTCTTGTCACTATGCGAAATCCATCATGGAATGGTATAATGCACAAGAGGTCAAATACGTACCAAAAACAGCCAAACTGTCCAGAACTTCGCCCAACAGAAAGGTATTGGGCTCTGGTTAAGCGGACACTATTGGCGTCTTGCAGTGAAACTTTTCCAAGCTTTCGCCTCCTACATTTCGAAGTGAGAACTACTAGAAGAAGGATAGTTTCCAAATTTTCCAAGTAAAACAGACGATTTTTGGGGCAAATCGGTCCATAAAGAAAAACTAATAATTTCCCGTGGAAACTTTTGCTTGAATCGTGTAAGAAAATGTGTTTGAAAACTATTTGTTATTATTTCGGTATGGATCGGAGATGTTTTCATGGCAAATTATGCATTACAAGTTTGCACCCACAGCGAGAGGTTACCTCCTGCGCAGCTGCATTTTTCGGAAAATTGTGAATATGTGCGATTTCCACTAAGATGAAAGTGGAAATTAAGTGAATTTACTTAGGAAAGGTTGTATCATGCTGGTGGTAATGGAGAATTGGTTGTATAGGACGCCAATATTCAATAAATGTTCATTTTGGCCTTTTCTAAGCAAACATATTGATACTCACAATTTTCGACGGAAAACGCAACGGAACTTGCTTTACTCAACACGCACCATACTGTAAAATGGTGCTAGATGGTTTTCAAAGTGATAACAAGATGACAAATCATCTTTATTTTGAGTAATTGAGCAATTTACTTCTGTTTACATCATATTTACGATGCAGCATTGATGGAGCCGCGAAATGAAATGAATATATCTTATGAAAGTTCAACTGGAAAAGTCAAAGATGCACATCAGTCTGATCATAAACACGTTTTCTTCTTCAATTCGAATGTTATATTGGAAGGATTTTACACAGGCTTGATAAAAATTATGATTTAACGCTAATTTTCACGAATTTTATATGCAGTCTGTCAACATTATCATCATCATTCAGTGGCGACATCTGCGTTGAGCTTTTACGGCAATCTTCCAATTCGAAACAAAGAGGAAAGCAAATGACATCAATGATTTCAAGAGGAGATGGAGGCACGGTGCCACTAAGGTATCTGAGGATACTGTACGGAACCTGATAGCGGGTATTCCACAGAAAGTTCAATAATTTTACAGACAAAAGAATTAACATTCAAATAAGCTACGTTTGCTATCGATATAAGTCTATTACAGAAATAAACAATCGGTTTTGTTGTATGTGTAGATTTTTTTCTCGACATTATCTTAGTGTCCTAAATTTAACGTGGACAGGTTGTGGAATTTGTTTTAAAACAATCCGGATAGAAAAAAATGTGAATAGGGATAATATCCAGTAATTCTCTATTCAGCATCCGTTCTGGAGTCCAAGATGGCAGCCATCGGGCTCAGGAAAAGCGTCAAATACCCTAAGATATGGGTATTTTAGGAACGGAGACGACGCGTAGATGCCGAAAATCGTAGGGTAATTGACACTACTTCTGATACCGAAAGCTGCCATCTTGGGTTTCAACATAGCGTCGGACATCGATTTCCGGCCTCTAGATGTCCTCCTGATTAAAAAAAATACTAATATTGAAGGATACTTGACCTCATACTTGACACTATTTCACACTTCTTCTAAAAACTAAAGCCACCATGTTGGATTTAAACATGGCGTCGGAAATTGATTTCCGACCTCTAGACGTCATCCCGATTCCGAAAATATCCATATTGATGAGTATTTGTCAGTAATTTTCCCACTATTCTTAAAACGGACGCCACCATCTTGGATTTCAAAATAGCTTCCCATACCGATTTCCGATCTCTAGACGTCACCCCGATTCCAAAAATACCCATATCGACAGCATTTCCCACTGTTTCTGAAATCGGAAACCGCCGACTTTGATTTCAAAATGGCATCGGATCGAGGGGGGCGACTCTATCTAAGATGCAGGAAATTTTTTGCTTTGCTGTTGTGAGATGCACTCGCGCTTAATAGATAGAAACACGATTGATTGTGATTTTGAAGATTTCCTGCAAAAAGGTGGAAATCGAAGCGAGTAGATGGGTTTAGATGCAAGAGATGAAAAAAAGATTTTTCGTAGATTTTTTCGCTAGTATGAGATTTTTCGACCATTTCAGTGCTAACATTTGAAAACGGCACAAAAGCCATTTGTAAACAAATGGTTTGTGGGCCCTTTACTCACTACTTGAAGTACGCCCACGCGACACAACAGCAACATCGGGTAGGGGAAATTTTCCCCTTCCTGATGATGCTGTTGGTTTGCGTGGGCGTTCTTCGGGTAGCGAGTAAAGGGCCCACAAACCATTTGTTTACAAATAGCTTTTGCGCCGTTTTCAAATGTTAGCACTGATTTAAAATCGAGATTTAGATGTGTCGCACCCCTCGCATCGAATATTGTTTTTCGGCCTCTAGACGTCATCCTGATTCCAAGAATACCCATATTAATGGGTATTTGACAGTATTTTATACTTATTCTGAAATCGTAAGCCACCATCTTGGATTTCAAAATGGCGTTGGATATCACTTTCCAGCCTCTAGATGTCATCCCGATTCCAAAAATATCTATATTGATGAGGATTTGACAGCATTTCCCTTTTTTCCTTAAATCGGAAGCCGCGATCTTGGATTTAAAATTGGCGTCGGATATCGATTTTCAGCCTCTGGACGTCATCCCGATTCTAAAAATACCTATACAGATGGTATATGATGGTTCTCACTTTTTCTTAAACCGGAAGCGGACATCTTGGATTTAAAAATAGCGTCGCATATCGATTTCCGATCTCTAGACGTCACCCCGATTCCAAAAATATACATATTGATGGGTATTTGACAGTAATTCCCACTTTTCTGAAATCGCAAGTCGCCAACTTAGATTTTTAAAAAGCGTCCGATATCGATTTCCGGCTCCAGACATCATTCCGATTCCAAAAATACCTATATTGATCGGTATTTAACAGTAATTCCCACTTTTTCTTAAACCGGAAGCCACCGTTTTGGTTTTCAAAATGTCATCGGAGATCAATTTCCGGCCTCTAGACATAAGCTTGATACCAAAAATACCCATATTGATGGGAATTTGACAGTATTTCCCAGTTTTTATTAAAACGGAAGCCATCATCTTTGATTTCAAAATGGCGTCAGATATCGATGTTCAGTCTCTAGACGTCATCGCAATTCAAAACATACCTATATTGATGGGTATTTGACAGTATTTCTCATTTTTCTTAAACCGGAACCCGCCATCTTGGATTCAAAAATGGCGTCGCAAATCGATTTCCGACTCCAGACGTCACCCCGATTCCAAAAATACATAGATTGATGGGTATTTGACAGTATTTCCCAGTTTTACTTAAACCGGATGCGATCATCTTGGTTTTCAAAATAACGTCGCATATCGATTACCGATCTCTAGACGTCACTCCGATTCCAAAAATATCCATATATATGGGGGTTTGATCTCGGGTTTGATAGTATTCCCCACTTATTCTGAAATCGGAAGCCGCCATATTGAGTGCCATTTTGAAATTTTGACAGATTTGGCGCCCGGGAAATGATCTCAAATAGCACCCACATACATCCGGGGAATCGAATGCCACCTATTTAATAAATTTTGCCCAATTTTCTCCAAAATATATGATAGAACCTACACATTTGAAAACATGTGGCGCCAGCAAAATGAATTCAAGTAGCACCGATTCATCGTTTAAATTATCAGAAATGCCCCCTGTTTCATACTGTGTAGATTTCAATCAATGGTCCATTTCACCCGATTCTCCCCAAAATACATGGTAGCAGCTGGTGAAGCGTTTGGAAACTTTTTTTTTTACGCCCTGGAAATGATCTCAAACAGCACCCATTTGGAAATGGATGTATTTTAAGGAGAATCTGGCAAAATATACAAATTTTTAGGTCTACACAATATGAAATGGGTGGCATTAGATTCATATGCTTTATTACCTTCTCTCATGTATTTTGAGGAGAATCGGACAAAAATATCATTTTTTTAGGTTTTCACAGTATGAAATGTATGACATTTGATCACCCTGTTATTTTTATAATGTAAAGATGCTATTTAAGATCGTTTGCCGGGCACCAAATCAGTTTTTCTATTGATGCTATCATGTATTTTGGGAAGAATCGGTCAAATTGGATCTCTTCGCGAAATTTGCACAAGATGGGACCATCACCAATCGATTCAATGTTTTTTTACATAGATATAGGCATCTTGTAGGCCTTCAAACTAACATTCTCTGCTTGACCATCAAGCTGTACAGTCCGATTTTATTTTCGCTCGCTCTCTCGAGTCGTTCGGTGTTTTAAGTCGATCGTTTGGTCGTGGAACCCGTCGCGAGTTTTCGCTTTGGCTAGCAACGTGCCATGTCAGTTCTCGCCTCTCTTGTGGTAGACGCTAAATCGGCGGTAGTGGAGCAACAATTGAATGCCTCCACTCACCCGTTGAAAAAACAAAAGGTGATGGGTCGCCAAAGTTCCGATGCAACCGCATCCGTTCAAGATGCCCCGAAAAGGCCTCGCAAGAAAGGTGCCAGCAACCACATGGAAAGGTTGCCTCATGAATGAACTGGCTAAAAATCAAATCCATCCGCTGTTCAAGCTGTGCAGCACGGAAATCAAAATCTTGTGCTCGACGCTGGCGGACTACAACGCTGTTGGCACTTTTCTTCAGTTGAACCGGTTTGAGTTCTACACTCACGACGTCCCTGGAAGCAAACCACTGAAAACGGTGATCCGTGGTCTTCCAAATCTCCCTGGTGCGAAGATTAAAGCGGAATTAGAGCACCTTCATCTGCAACCAATCAACATTTTTTTTCCATTGCGAGACGTGATGAAACCAGTGCACTCCGTGACCAGTTGTACTTGGTGCACTTCGATAAGGGCTCAACCAGTGTGGCTGCTCTGTGGCAGATTCGCGCGCTGTTCAACATCGTGATTCAGTGAGAACAGTATCGCCCTTGGCACCGTGACGTGACACAGTGCACTAATTGTCTGGCATTTGGGCACGGTACGAAGAATTATTGTCACATGAAGGCTCGTTGTGGCAAATGTGCTGGGGCTCACAATACTACCGCCTGCAAGAAGGAAGAAGAAGCTGAACCTAAGTACGTGAACTGTGATTCCAATCATCTGGGCAGCGATAGGAGATGTCCCAAGCGAGCGGCCTTCATCCAGATCCGACAACAGGCGTCCACGACGAACCATCCTGGTCGACACCGCAATAATCGTGCTCCTATTGTCAACATGGACACGTTCCAGTACTTCAGGCTCGTCATATGGTCCCGAACCTAGCACCGCTTCCACTATACCAGCGACCCCCCCCCGTTGCGAATACAACATCAGATCAAGCGCGTCCCAGCCACCGTTCAGTTCAGTATCGCCTCACTGCCGCTGCGGCTCAGCCGAGCCATGGTTCTACTGCACCGGGATTATCGTACACCCGTGCTGTGTCAGGTGAGTCAGAAGACAATTCTCCACTCACAAGCGACGAACTAGTGATCCTAGTGACTGAGGTGATCATAATCTTGCGCACCCCCAAGACACTACCTGAATAGATTCGTGCAGTTATGTCCCTCGTGCAAAAGTATGGACAGTGAAGCCATCAAAATAGTCAACTGGAACGCTTGCTCGCTCAAGAGCAAAATCATTGAGTTCGTTGATTTTCTCAATGAGCATAGCATTGACATCGCCGTCATCACCGAAACACACCTGAAGCCGGAGATAAAGGAGTGGCTATGGCATTAAGGAGAAATATTGGCTGTCGACTGCTACCGAGTTTCCAGCTGAAGATGATTGAAGCGGTGGGTGTGGAAGTCTCCACTCCTATCGGCCCTATTACCATCATTGCGGCCTACTGTCGCAAACAAGTCACCATCAGAGACGGGTCGGCAGCAGACCTGCGGAGAGATATCATCAGACTAACTCGACGCTGTGAGAACTACATCTTCGCTGGCGACCTGAACGCCAAATACCAGGCTTGGGGCAACAGTCGACGCAACCAAAACGGCACAATCCTGAACGACGACCTGCAAGAGGCTCACTACACCATAATAGTGCCGGACTCTCCCATCTGCTTGATCCGGTCTGGCGTACACTCCACCATCGACATCTTCGTCAGCAACATCTCGCAACCTGTGACCCACCAGGAGCTGAGTTCGGACCACTATCCGGTTGTGGGCGATGTGGGCTCATCCGTCAACTGATTCGAAGCTTCCCGACGCAACAGTTCCAACGCTGTGTCGACTCCACTATCGACTACGGTGTCCTTCCGGAGACGCCCGAAGACGTTGACCGGTGTCTGCGTTCTATCGAGGAGGCGATACCTCGGGCCAGGGAACAACACGTGCCAGTATCCAGACAGGTGAGCAATACTCTGAACCTTGATAGAATTACCAAAACTCTCATTAGACTCCGTAACTCCATTCGAAGGGAATACCAGCGTTCTGGCTTGCCTGCCTTGAAGACCCACTGTAATCGCCTAACAAAAACCATCCAAGCTAGGATGGTGGACCTCAGAAATCAGAACTTTGCTAACAGGATCCGCTCTCTCCCAGATTGTGCAAAACTCTTTTTGGAAACTAACCAAAATCCTTAAAAATAAGTCAAGACCCATTCAACCACTGACCCCACTGGATAGTCCCGGCGACCCAGTGATTCATCTGATAACTCCTGAAGAGAAGGCTGCCACGATAGGTCAACACTTTGTCAGCTCCCATAATCTCGGACAAAACATCGTCAGCCCTCACCAAGCTGAGGTTGCTGAAAATGCAACCAATCTTCATCAGATTCCCAACATATTTTCCGAGGAATCCGAGATTTCTGCTGACGAACTGTTGCCCTATATCAAATCATCTAACAACATGGAGGCCTCTGGCTTCGATAACATCCTGAATCTGGAACTCAAACACTTGAGTTCCAGATTCTACAACCATCTAGCACTGATTTTTAATCTGTGCCTCCGACTTGGCTACTTCCCCTCGTGCTGGAAGTCAGCTAAAGTCATACCCATCCGGAAACCTGGGAGGGATCCGTCCTCTCCTTCAAGTTATCGATTAATCAGCCTTCTCTCAGGGTTATCAAAACTGTTCGAAAGAGCAGTCTACCACCGGCTCCTAACATCTACCGAACAAAACAACATCTTACTCGAGGAACAGTTTGGTTTTCGGAAAGGTCGTTCGACTGTCCACTAGCTGACTCGAGTAACAAACATTCTCAGACGGAACAAGTCTGTGTCGAAAACATCTGCCATGGCGTTGTTGAACGTTGAAAAAGCGTTCGACAATGTCTGGCACGATGGCCTGGTGTTCAAATTGCAGCAATACGGTCTTCCAATCTTCCTAGTGAAGATAATAAATAATTATCTATCGGACAAGACGCTCCGAGTATCTCTGAATGGCATCGGATGCTTTCAACATCGGTGCCGGGGTTCCACAAGGAATCATTATTGGCCCCATTCTATTCAACCCGTTCACCTCCGATATGCCGGCTCTCCCTGATGGTGGATTGTTGCCTCTGCTCGCAGATGACACATCCATCGTCTACAAGGGTAGGGTCATCGGAGCTCTGACTGCCAAACTTCAGAGAGGCCTGGACGTCCTGTCTGAATATTTCAACAGCTGGAAGATCCGTATCAACGCGACAAAGACCCAGGTCATCATCTTTCCACACTCTAAATCTCCCAGACTTGTTCCGTCGGAGAATAATAAGATCTGCCTGAACGGCACAGTGGTGGAATGGTCGAAAGAGGTAGTCTACCTCGGCTTAACACTAGAAAGCTTACTGATTTTCAGGGAGCACGCTGATAAAAAGAAAACCAAGTGTAACATCCTGATAAGATCCCTGTATCTACTCATCAACAGGAGGTCTACCCTGTCCCTGAAAAATAAGCTTACTGTCTACAAACAAATCATCATTCCCGTAATCCAGTACGGTGTGCCAATCTCGGAGAGCTGCGCCAAATGCCATCACCTTAAACTCCAAAGGATCCAGAACAAGATCCTAAACAGTCCCCCGCGAACTAGAAATTCTGAGATCCACCTCCTGGCTGGAATTCAGACATTAGAAGAACGGAGAGTTTTTATCCTGGGAAGGTTCAGAGACACCTGTCTCAGATCAACTCATCATACGGATCATACGTGATCTTGCACGTTAGGCTATGTTATACTCGTAGTTAGGTAGGTTATCACTTTTTTTTTAATTCATATATAACACACCACCCAAGGGGTATTCTGTAGAGTAGTAGAAAAACGTGAATACGTATATTAAAATAACAAATTAAACAAAGATGAAGAGCCTGAAAGGCTAATCAATGTCAAGGCCAATCAATAAAATGTTAAAACAATGTAAAAGCATAATTAACAGAAATAAACGTAATTTTACTACCACTACCTTCAAACTAACGCCAATTAATTAAGGTGACTCCTTGTAGAGTCCACAAATGGCCGCTGCGTAGGCTATACATGCACTTCCACTTCGAATTTGCAATTACACAAATCTCGGAAATCGGAGCCCCATTTCACCTGAAATTGCTACTTCAGTGCAGCAAACATGGAGTAACAATTTGAACGTGTCGTAGAAGCTGCTCGCTTTTGCCTTGACCTGCGCCCGGGTCAGATTCCCGTCGACTTCCTTTATTTCCTTGTTGAGGCTCCGCCGCCATGAGCCCCTGGGTCTGCCTCTGCTGTGACGTCCTGCCGGGTTCAAATCCTGCGCTTGCTTGCAAATTTCGTTTCCGCCCCTTCGTAGTGTGTGGCCGACCCACCTCCACTTTTGCTCTCGAATTTCTGTTGATATCGGTTTCTGATGACATCGACGATGGAGCTCAGCATTAGAGATCCAGTTGTGAATTATATACCACAGGCATCGGTTGATGAAGATCTGCAGCTTTTGACTGTCCTCCGCTGATACACACCACGTCTCGCTGGCGTATAACAACACAGATTTCACGTTTGAATCAAAGACTCGAATTTTGCTACGTTGACTACGGTTATGAATCCGTTGTCATTATGCCAAATGGTATTCTGCCAAACGGCTGCATGCTAAATAGAATAGATCCTTTACTTTCCCAATATAGCATAAGTGATACCATGTAGAGTCCTTTATCTCATCACACTTTGCAATTCCAAAAGCACAAATCTCAAGATTTACGAGGTAAGTGCTAAAGCAAATTTCAACAACAATAACCTGAACTCAAAAACCTTGAAAGTCGGGGTTGAGCTGGATAAAAAAAATACCGAATGTGAATTAAAAACAAGGGCCACAACATTCACCGATTTGGGAACCACTGGCGATATGCAGACGATAGAAAAGTGAATACTTAAGTTAGGAGCGTTAAAACTGCAAATTTGCTCAAATGCGACGGCTACAAATGAAATGGTGTTTTGAAAGCGAAATGATACTAAATTGCAGTTGTTGAAATACTTGTTGGTTAGGTAGGTAGTAGGGTAAGGTGGGGCAAAATAGGTCATCTACATGATTTAATTATATTTTTGTTTGTCAACGGGCTTAGCCTTCTTTCCTTTATTTAACGTCGGTCTCTGTTCCTCAATCTAGTGCCATCCATTGACGGATATCGCACCCATTCATTCAACACACATGGGCCGGGACCAACGGCTTTAATTCCCTCCAGAAAGAAGAACATCAACGGGCTTAATGTAGCCCCAATGTTGGATTGAAAAAGCTGCATTGAACCTGTTGATATTGACAAGCAAATTAATTCAGAAATGTCGTAGCTGTTCCATCTTGCCCCACCTTACCCTACATAGTAAGGAGCTTCATTTTGGAGAATGAAGCACCCTAGTACACAGCTAATTAAGTTTTATCGAAGACAACATACCAAGCAGACTGGTTGTTCCGTTTTCTGATACAAACGCTAAGAAACAGACACAATATCACCTTCTGTCTTTCAAAGGTTAAATCTCCGAACGGATTTGCTAGCGGACTGTATTCCAATCCAAATAATTTTGTTAAACGGTCCAATGTAACACCGATCGATTATCCTCGTCGATTTTTTCTCAGTCATAAAAGAAGCAGAAGCTATTTTATCTAGCATCCAATACGATGGACATGATTGAAAACGTTTTGGTAGCCGTTGAGAAAACCTACGAAGAGAATCGATCAATGTTTGCATCTAACTGAACATCCAGTCTCTTTGGCATTCGTTGCCTTCTTCGGTTCTATATAATCTTCAGTAAAACTTCTACCCTAAAAGCCTACATAACACTTCTGTACTAATTCTTCCGTTTGCTGCGATTAATTGCTATGTTTCTTCCTATATCACACGCCGTTTTCCATTCTATCCTAAACTATTGGAAGGTGCCATAATCATATTTGCCTAGTTATTTCCTACCATGAGTGGAGCATTGGATTAACGTTTTTTGTTTGTTTTGTTTGTTCTTCTAGCCATCAATGTCGCAAAAGTTCTAAAACCGAAATGTTCTATTCTAGTGCAAAGCCGCGTTGCTTGCTAGGCTACATCTAAGCATTGGGGGCACCGTCGACACTACAAAACTATCCGTAGAAACAACAAATCTGCGCGAATTGAACCGGCTTTCTCTCTCTCTATCTCTCTCTCTTATGGCACATGAGCTGTTAGTTGTTTTAGAAAATGTTCCTACCAATAAGATTCGTCTCTGATTTTCGTTTAAGATTCACAATCAATCAATATAATCCCACCGCGCGACGGATTAGAAAAAGGTTTTCACTGTTAATCACTGTTTATAAAATCATCTCGTTTGACCTACTATTTACAAAATTCGTTTCCAATCCCAGCGATAATAATGGTACATACTTCTATAAACAAGAATCTAAGTATAGTGTTAGTTAAAAAAACATACTTACACAACAAGTGCTGCTGCAGTCTGGGGAAAATGCTTCTACATACTAGAAATAGCCTCTCACTCCCTCTAGAGGTGGTTCCGACTTCGGCCGTTCAGTATCAGCGGTTTGCTGCCACCACCGCTGACGATCGTTGGCGCTGGTTCCGGACCGGTGCCCCCGTTGCTGCCCGTGTTCAGCAGGTCGTCGGTGCTGAGCACCAGGGTCTCGATTTCGTCATCATCATCGTTGTCCGCGTAGTCATCGTCGCAGCCCACCCGCAGGACGTCCGAGTGCACAATGTGCGGTGCCTCGTTGAATTCGTCCAGCTCGTCCATGCCTGGAAAGGAGAGAAAAAATTGATTCGTTTGATTATATCGGAAGATGCCATAAAAATCTTTGGAGGGGTGTTGCTCTTGGCACTGAGTGTAGACGTGTAGACAATACTGATCTTGACTAGACTGCCATTACAGACTTCTGAGGACTTTATTCGGTGTCGTAGCAAGATTACGGTTTTACCCGGTCCCAATTGGGGGAACAGAAATCCAGTCGAAATCTGGAGTCAGAATGAATCGATTAATTGTACTGCATTGGGTTTATATACATGATTGATTACAGGTGTGACATCGTAATAATTCAACGTTTTAATTAGAACAAAGGGGGTAGACGTCTGGAGTGACAAATCAATGTACCGTAGAACCCCGGTAGTTTGAATAGCTAGAATCGCATTTAATCGTTGCTCATTGAGAATTTGTTAACCTGGTACCCCTACAGAAGTGCTCAATGATGTAATGCACCAGTGTAGGGGTACCAGTTAATCAAATTATCTACGAGCGGCGTTTAATTGCGATTTCAGCTATTAAAACTAACGGGGTTCTACGGTAGCATACAAACTATAATTGCACCAACTCGGACGTCCTCATTCTGCAAGCATATACCCGCATAAACGCGAACCATGACCTGAGCTTACCGAAAATAGTTAAAAATTATTTATAATCTCTGCTAAACTTTAACTGAAATGGTTATAGAACTCTACATGAACGTTTGTGTGATAAAGTTTTAACCTTATATATTATGGTTTTGTGGAAGTGAACCTTACAAATAATGGGTTAATACATGGATAATGTTAGCAGACACAGTTCTTGGAACAGGGGCTCGGAGTAATAATAAAACACTAGAGTTCTCTAGCTCGAAACAAGAAGGAATGAATTTTATTGTCGTCTTCGGTTTACAGTGGAACTGAACAACTGTCAAATGGGAAGTGTTGCCTGATCGGCATTCGCAGTGAAGTAAATGCTGTAAGTCGAACCTGGGGGTGTTCAACACTCCTCCTCAACACTGATCGGTTTGACACCAATCGCCCTTCGTAGATTCTTCAACCTAACTGCCTGTAATGGTTTGGTCAGTAAGTCTGATACCATATATTCAGTAGGGCAGTATTGCAGCTGCACGATGCCTTCCTGAACCAGATCCTTTGCAAAGCTGTACTTCGTATCTATATGCTTGGATTTCTTCTCGTTCCGGTCTACTTTCGTTAAGGCGATGCAGCTTTGATTGTCTTCCTTGACAGGTATCGGGTTATCTAGCTGTTCTCCGACGTCTTCCATAAGCTTGCGAATCCATTGTAATTCTTGGAGGCACTCCGCTAGTGCAATGTATTCGGCCTCGGTGCTTGACATAGCGACGCACTTCTGCTTACGACAGCCCTATCCAAAAACGCCACCGTGAAACTTGAAGAGGAATCCGGAACTTGATTTGCGGTCGGACACATCACCGGCCCAATCCGCGTCAACAAAGCACTCCAGTTACGTATTGTCACACCCAAGACAGAGCTCCAAGTCGATCGTGTTCTTAAGATATCGCAATACACGTTTAGCCGCATTCCAATCGCCTTCGGTTGGCGCTTGAGCGCGTCGTCCCAAGATCGAGGTTGCAATCGAAATGTCTGGTACTCACGGCTACGTACTACAAAGCTCCAATGAGACTTTGATATTGTTCAACGGATTCAAGTCTCTTACTCGTCTCCTCCTTTTGTTGGAGAAAACCAGGATCCATAGGCACTTTCGATTTTTGGGCCTCGCTCATCCCACCCTTTGATTGACGCGATATTGGCCGGTCTCCTGCCGAACTTGGATCCCGAGGAAAAACTTGAGGTCTCCCATCACAGTGATTTTAAACTGTCCGTTCAGGGCGTTAGCGATATTGGCAAATTCTTCCTCAGTCACGCAAATTACGATAATATCGTAATCGTAAATCAAAAGGAAAGTGTACGTACCTGCTGTGTCCTTTATGTAGAGACACGGGTCAGCCTTTGATTGATGGAACCCCATGAACTTCAACACCTCATCGATCCGCTGATGACAAACACGAGCGGCTTGTTTTAGCCCGTACTAGCTGCGTCGTAGTCGACAAACTTCGTCCTTGTTTCCAGTTTCATATCCAGGGGGTTGCTGCATATATATCTCCTCCTGAAGCTGCCCATAAAGGTAGGCGGTTTTAATGTCGACGTGTTTGGCTAACATTTTCCTCGTACTAGCTAACGTCAACATCGCCCGGAACGTTACCTGTCTTACCACGGGTGCAAATACTAAGTCATAATCAGACCCGTATTTTTGGCAGAAACCTTGCGCTACTAAGCGTGCCTTGAAGCGCACAAGTTCACCATTCTCATCAACCTTGCATTTATAAATCCACTTGCTACCGATGGCCTTGCGATGTAGTGGAAGTTCCGTTAGCTCCCAGGTTCCATTCTCACGATGCGACATTATTGCTTCGTCCATTGCAGATTTCCATTCAGCGCATTACGGACATGACACTGACTAGATTCACTCCTGCCGGATATCACACTGGTGCAACACCGGCCGTTGCTCTCCTTGAACGACGCACTTGTTGCAATTGTGGTTCTTCACTCACTACAGAATTCTCTTCGTCATCGAACCAAAAATCGAGCGTCACGGCTGATCTTGATTTCCCCGGAACGAGTATCCAGCATTCGGTATGCTTTATGTTCCAATGAGTAGCCAACAAACGTAATTTTAATGACTTTGACGTCTAGCTTCTTGCGTTTCACGGAGGGAACCAATACGTAACCACTACATCCGAAAAGTCGCAAGTGATTAAGGTCTGGCTTTCTACCATGCCAGATCTCATACGGTATTCGTCCTACAGCAGCTGACGGTAAACGATTTTGTAGATAACCAGCAGTGTTTATCGATTCCGCCCAGAATCGGCTATGCATACTAGCATCCAACAGCATGCATCGTCCCATTTCACTTAATGACCGATTTTTTCTCTCCGATACTCCATTTTGTTGTGGAGAGTATGCTGTAGTGTATTCCGCCTTGATTCCTTCCTCCGAATAGAAACGCCGGAGCGCATTGCTGGAATATTCGCCACCTTGATCGGACCGGATGATTCGAGGTTTTCGACCAAATTGATTGTCGACCATTCGGACGTATTCTCGGATTCTTTCTTGTACGTCAGATTTCTCCTTTAAGAAATAGACGTATGTGAAGCGGCTATGCTCGTCGATCATTGTCATTTAGTAACGCCTCACTACATCCATGGGTCCGCATACATCCGTGTGAATAATGTCCAGCACATTCTTCGAAATCTTCTGCTGGTCTTAGAGTTACCTCTATGGTAGTACCATAGAGGTAACTCTAAGACCAGAAGGTCCCGAAGAAACGTGCTCAACTTTTTGGCTCAGCTCTGGTACTATCTTCGGTCCCAAGTTAATCGATGCACCCCTCAAAACATAGGAAAATCCATGAACCCCTCATATTATCTGTCAAACTTTCATAGCAAATCAAAACAAACATAGTGTAGTACTAGAATTTCGACTAGAATGGGGTACGTTAATCGTTTGCTTGGGAACAATAGGCTAGTCAAGTAGTAAGCCAATTTAAAATCGTTAGTTTCGAATTGATTGTTGGTAGTACTGTCAACCTCATCTACCATCCTGTTCCACCACTTCTCCAAATCAGATGGTGTTTTGATTGTTTTGCCACATTTCTTCAATTTGCGCTTGAAAATTGCCCAAAATTTTTCAATGGGACGAAAATCTGGACAATTTGGTGGATTGATACTTTTCTCAATAAAATCGACATTATTCTACGTATACCATTCTATGACATTGCGGCTGTATTGGTAGCTGGCTAAGTCAGGCCAGAACTTTACGGGACCTTTGTGTGATTGAATGAACGGCAAAAATATGTTCTGGAGACACTCCTCCTTGTAAAGTTGTCGATTCCAGTGATGACAATCTTTGTTTTCTTTCCGCAACTGCAGATGCCTTGCCAAATCATCAACTTGCGAGCGAATTTATCTGCAAAGACAAATTTGAGTTTATCCGGAGCATACCCTTACGTTTAGCAAAGTAAAATTGTTGGCCCGGGATTTGTCCATTTTTACGTAAGTTTCATCGTCCATCAAAATACATCCGTTATATTTGGTCAGAACTTGCTCGTACAGCTTCCTTGCACGGTTTTTGGCAACCAGGTTTTGTTTCAGCGTCCTGTTGGGATGTTTGCTGGCATGGTACGACCGGAAACCTTCTCGCATACAGATTCGCCGAACTGTACTGTGTGCCGCACTGAACCTTTTCGCCAAATCACGACCGGAGATCTCAGGATTCTTTTGGACTGCCCTTATGACCGACCTTCGCTTGTAGTTTTCGGTCAGATGTTCCACTTCTACGTTTGTTTTGTTTTGCACGATCCAACGTTAGTGTTTCCCGGTAACGTTTAAGCAGGGTATTTACAGTCGATTTTGGAAATTTGAGAGTTTTTGCAATAATTCCTCCTGACCACGTTGGATTTTGCACGTGAGTGTGCAGAATTTTTTCACGTCTGTTACGTTCCATCTTCGATAACTTTTGAACAAGTATATGAATCCTGATAAAATTTTCACTACTAAATAAGCAATCAAAATGCTGTCAATAGTTTCTTGCTACGACAACGGCAAAGGCGCTACAGTAATTAAAAAGAAGCGGCCAAATACTAAGGCTGTGAAACATTTGCCGAGTAAAATTTAACTCGTGGTTAAAAGTGACATTTCGAAAGTTATTTTCTATTTTCGAAAATCCCTGTGCTGTCGATCGACCGGTTTTCGAGAAGAACTTAGTCAAGGTTGTCAAAATTTAACTTCTTGTCTGTCAGAAGTAACCACGCTCGGATAGCAGGGTTAATCGATAACTTTCCATCTGTCAAATTTTAACCAAAAGTTAAAATAATCCACCAAATGGTTCAGAGCCTAACTGGAACAGACTTTAATATTGAATCTCGAGCAAGGCCGGGCACACTCAGCTAGTTTATAGATAAAAATGGAATGATCTCACCA